ATTCTACCTCAACTCTAACCTGTCTCCCCCTAGCTGGACTCCTGGCTTTGGGTCCCCTTTACTGGAATTGCAGAAGGGCACTCGTGGGCCGTCTTTCCAGAAGACCCTGCCTTCACTTACTCCCCAAAGGGAAAGGGGCCCAAATCTCCCTGCCTTGCCAAGCAGGGGGCTTGCAGGGGAGCGGAGTGGCAGCCCTGGGCAGATGGCGTGGTTCTGGGTTTAGAGCTGCGAGGACTGCCAAGGGGGTTCTTGCTGCACAGACACCCCCACCCCCCGCCACTGGAGACAGAATAGAAGAGATCTCCCGACTCAAAAGATACAGAAAAGGCTTCGCACCAGGACAATAACACAGACAAGGCCATTTTGGGGGCACATTCTTTAGGTAATTTTATTCCTTGAGAGAGTAGGAGCCAAGTGTTTAAAAGGGGAAGGAAAAATGCTTCAGCAGGTCTGTTGTTCCTTGGGGCCCAGCAATCTGCCATCTTGTTTCTTCAAAGCCTCTCCTTCCCCATCCATCCCCTGCCAGCCTGGGAACGAAAGCGGCTTCTGATGTACCCCTGGCTGTGCAGTGCACCCCTCAGGCAGGCGGACAGGGCTGCCAGGGCTCCCGGCGGAGCTGGGGGAAGCTCCTGAGCCGCTGGGGGAGGGGAAGCGTGGACGCATCTCCGTGGCAGGGCTGCGAAGGGCCGTGTATCTGGCACTGTGGCCAAGGGACGCTCCACAGTCTGGCAGCCATCCTGTGAGTCCAGGAAAGCCCCCCGCCTGGCCTGGGTCCCTGTCCCTAATGGCCCTCTTGGGGTTCCACTCACCTGGGAGCCTGGCTCCCCTCCACGCTTCTGCCCACACGCCCAGAATCCAAGTTTACCTTCAGGTGGGTGGAGGAAGGCCCGGCCACTCTGGGGCTGGCGTGGACTCAAGCTTCGGCTTCTGTGGTGAAAGCTGGTTTGTCTGGGGCTGCTCCCTAGGCCCTTCTGGGAGCCAGGCCCAGAAGGCCATCTTGCCAAGACAAACTGTGGCCGCGGGGTGGAATGTGGTGGGGTGGCTGCCGAGGAGGCCCAAACTTGGCAGGCCTCTCAACGGTGCCCCGGCCCATTCCGCAGCACGGAGCCCGACGGGGTCGGGCTGGGCCGGGCACAGTTACCGAGACCGCCCGGCACCTCGCTGCCCTCTTGTTGAGTGAGGCAGGGACGCCCCCCTCTCTTGGTCTCACCCGAAGACCGGAAGCTCATAATGAAGCCTCAAGGTTGACAGAAGTCCTGCACACCTGCTTCCTTGGGGGAGCAGTTCAGGAGCAGAAGTTGAGGAAAGAGGGGGTCACAGGGGCTGTCTGGGCCCGTGTGTGTATGTGCAGAGTGAGGCCTGTCAGAGAGGGAGGAAGAACCCCAGCAAGGCCTCGAAAGCCTTCAGCAAAACCCAGACTGGGGGGGGGGGCTACCCTGCCATCAGAGCCCCCCGTTTACTCAGCACTTGCCGTAAGCCTAGTCCCTTGGGTGGGATCCCCTGAAACAGAGCTAAAGTGGGGACGTGGCTGCTGGTGAAAGGGCTCTCTGGAAGAAAGGCAGTGAGGGGAGAAGAGGGCAGGGGAAAGAGCTAAGAATGTGGTCTCAGCAGGAGTCTGACACGATCCCAATGGGGACCTCTGGGGCTTGAAGGCCACCACGTTGGACCCTCTCGGTGGCAAGGAGATAGCTCTGATGGCTCCGTGCCAGTCAGTCCCCGGCTACAGGCTGCCAAAGCATGTGACCCCAGTGTCAAGAGGCTCCCGTTTGGCTAAGAGCAGTACTCGAGAGAAGCTACGAGATGTCAGTAGCCGACACGCCCTGCACTCGAGGGATGGGTGTGCCGGCTGGTGAGAAGGTTCTGGATGCGACGCTGAGGGCCTCCACCATCCCCATCGCCAGCACCTGGAGAACAGGGGCCAGGCCTTCAGAGTACCACTACTCCGGTGACAAGGACTCCCCCTCTGTCTCAAGAGGGGGAGCGTCCTGGGCTGTTGACAAACAGGAAGGTCAGACGACGCCCACAGCACTGTGTAGCAGAGCGGGACCCACGGCTAGTGGGGCCGTTGACTCAAGAGCAGCCACTCATTAAGAGGTGATGGGTAGTGTCCACACCGGCCCTGCTGACCCAGGGCCCCAGGTTGTTGGGACAGATGCCTGTGCAAGCCGCCTGTCCTCTTGGGCCTGTCCTTTCCCCTCCCCACCCAGATCGGGCCCAGTTGCCTTTCCCCAACTCCCAGATCAGGTGACCTTCAGTGGGTCCCGAGAGGAGGGGAAGGGCACTCTTGCTATCCCTCTAGTCTCTTGCCAAGACGTCATCTTGGCGTCAAGGCCTGCTTCCCTTTTCATGCTCAAGAGCCAATTTCCAAAACAAAACAAAAAACACTGAACCTGCTCTGTTTCTCCCTCCGAACCGCTAAATCTAAAATGCATATAGAAAGGTCACTTTGTCCTGAAGTCAACTTTAGCTCACGTTAAGAGAGCCGCTCCCGCGGCACCTGGCTGGCTCAGTCGGCGGGGCACGCTGGATCTGGGGTTGTGGGTTCAAGCCCCACGTTGGGTGTAGAGATTACTCAAAAATAAAATCTTCGGGGCGCCTGGGTGGCGCAGTCGGTTAAGCGTCCGACTTCAGCCAGGTCACGATCTCGCGGTCCGTGAGTTCAAGCCCCGCGTCAGGCTCTGGGCTGATGGCTCAGAGCCTGGAGCCTGTTTCCGATTCTGTGTCTCCCTCTCTCTCTGCCCCTCCCCCGTTCATGCTCTGTCTCTCTCTGTCCCAAAAATAAATAAATGTTAAAAAAAAAAATTAAAAATAAAATCTTCATGGGGCACCTGGATGGCTCAGTCAGTTAAGTGTCTTGACTTCGGCTCAGGTCATGATCTCACGGTTGGTGGGTTCGAGCCCCGTTTCAGGCTATGCATGGACAGGGCAGATCCTGCTTGGGATTCCCTCCCTCCCTCCCTCTCTCTCTCTCTCTGCCCCTCCCCAACTTGTGCTTTCTCTCTCTCAAAATAAATAAATAAATAAATGTAAATAAATACATAAAATCTTTAGGAAAAAAAAAGATAGCCACTCCTGCTTTCTTTTGATTAATGTTTGCATAATGTATCTCTTTCAACCTTTTTAAAAATTTTTTTTAATGTTTATTTTTGAGAGAGAGAGACACACACAGGGCAAGTGGGGAGGGCGAGAGAGAGGGAGGTACAGAATCAGAAGCAGGCTCCAGGGGTCTGAGCTGTCAGCACAGAGCCCAAGGCGGGGCTCGAACCCACAAACTGTGAGATCATGACCTGAGCCAAAGTTGGACGCTTAACCGACTGAGCCACCCAGGCATCCCTCTTTTTCAGCCTTTTACTTTCGAGGTGCGTGTATCTTTACATTGGAAGTGAGTTTATTACAGTCTAGAGTTGAGTCCCGTCTTGTAAACCACTCAGCCAATAAGCTGGGCTCTTGAGTGCACTTTTCATTATGTATCTTCAGCTTTGACGAATAAAAACCATCTCTTCTTGTTTTGGGAAAAAGATGATGCTGGCGGTGGGGAGCAGGGAGATGGGACCTGTGGCACTGAATTCCTCCCGGTGATCTGAGATTGAAACTATGAGAGGCTTGGGGTGCCAAACCTGGGCGGTTCAGGCAGCTAAGTGTCTGACCTCGGCTCAGGTCATGATCTCACGGTTTGTGAGCTGGGAGCCCTGTATCGGGCTCACTGCCGACACTGCAGAACCGGTTCCAGATCTGTCTCCCTCTGCCCCTCCCCCATGCTTTCTCTTTCTCTCTCTCAAAAATAAATAAGCATTTTGTTAAAAGAAAATATGAGGGGCGGAAACAGCTCTAGAAACAGAGACAATACAACAGCCCACACTAAGGCACAGCTTGCCTAACGGAAGGCTATATGGATGTCATTGTGTTGAATCTACACGTTAGTAATTGCCCCTTACAAGCTCTTCTCTGAACTGCAGGGCCGGGGGGGCCGGGGCCTGGAAACTACATTTTGTGGGTTTCTTTGCAAGCTAGGGCACAGTTAGATTTTTCTGAACATTTTATCTCTTTAAGTAATCTCTACGCCCAACATGGGGCTGGAACTCACGACCCCGAGATCAAGGGTTGCACGCTCCACTGACCAAGCCAGCCGGGCGCCCCAGTTACAGTTAGATTTTGCCAGTGGATTTTGGAGGTTGGAGACTAGAAAGTGGAAGGAAGGAAGAAACTATTCTGCTTCAGCCTCGAGCCATGACAAGTGATCATGGCAAAGTGGCTGCAAACGGTAAGCGGCCTGATTTTCAGGTAAAACTCCTTTCTCTCTTTTTCTCATCCAGCTCTTCCAAAACCTTTATAGCCAATGCCCAGCGTTAAATGTTCCTCCGGCTTAAAATACCTAAGCAGGCTATTTCCCTCGCAAGACTGACACATAATTTGCCCTTCAGTCTGAAGGAAACGGATCAAATCTTGTCATTTACCAACACCCCCCAAAGAGGGCTGGTGGAGCAAATTCTAATGTCCCCCGCGGTTCTGTCTTCCTCGTCTTGTCTCTCCTTGGAGCTCTCGGTCCATACCCCATACCGCCTCCCATCTAACCTCCGAGAACCTTCCCATCCGTTACATCCTTGACCTTTTGAGTCCCTGCCGAACTGCGCTGCCGTATTTCACACCCACGTATGTAATCCCGTCTGTGCTCCCACAGCATGGCCCGCAGCGTGCCAAACCGTCCCCTCTCTTGACGGTGAGCCCCGGGAGGCTGGGAGGGCACTGTTTATCCTTGACGCCTTGCATGCATGCTTGGGTCTGAGCACTGCAATGGTTCCTGCTGAAGCTGATTGATGGAGGAGTTGCTCTGGCAAGCCCTAGGTTCAAGAACCCGGGCGGGATCCTCTTTCCACACCATTTCTCCAGAAGTCATCTGATGAGAGCCTGCCAGCGTGTGTGGACTAGGATCGGGGAGGAGGGGAAGCCGAGGCCTGGCCCAGGGGCGGGACCTGGGACACAGAGACCGCAGGAAGGCTGCCTGAGGTACCAAGTAGCTTTAATGAGCCTCAGCACCTCTCCCCCAACTCTGTCCCTCCCGCTTTCAGTTCTGGACAGGTCCAGCCTGCCCAAGGCTCTGGGGCTGTTCACCTGGAGGTGTTAATTCTTCTGCCCCCTCAGGCGCTCCAGACGCCTCCGAAGGTCTGGGGGCACTTTGGCCCCGGAGGCGAGCAGTTCTCGAAGTCTTTGTTTGGGAGTCTTGGTGAGGTGGAAATTGCAGGGCACTGGGCCCTCTTCAAAGGTGACCCGGCAGCTCCTCGTCACTGAGTGATAGCCCTCAGCACTGGCGGTCACCATATAGTCCCCTGGGGTCAGCAGGCGCCAGTAATCCCCGCCCCATGCTGACAAGAGTGAAGGTCACGATCAGGATCCAGTGATCCTCAGCCTCTGACCCTGCCTAAAGGCCTCCCACACCTCCGCCATCCCCTCCCCGACACACCTGTCGTTACATCGTGGTTAATCCCGTCCACAGAAATGACAGCATCGGCAATCCCGAGTTCTGTGTCCTTGTCCCGCACAACTCCTGCAATGCCCACTCGCACCTGTGCGGGAAAAGGCTATCAAAACCCTTTTCTTTCTGCATGAAGTGTGACCTTCACTTCATTTTCCAGCTCTGTTCACAGCACGCTTGAAGATGGCATGTCTATGTTCCTAGGTGGCAATACCCTGGTAAAAGTAACTCCTGATGGGGGCACCTGGGTGGCTCAGTCGGTTAAGCGTCCAATTTCGGCTCAGGTCACGTTCTCAGTTCCTGCGTTCGAGCCCCACATCGGGCTCTCTGCTCTCAACACAGAGCCCACTTTGGATCCTCTGTCCCCCTCTCTTTCTGCCTTTCCACTGCTCACGTGCATGCTCTCTCTCTCAAAAATAAATATATGTTTTTTTAGAAAAAAAGGGGGTGCCTGGGTGGCTCAGTCGGTTAAGCATCCGACTTCAGCTCAGGTCACCATCTCGCGGTCCGTGAGTTCAAGCCCCGCGTCGGGCTCTGGGCTGATGGCTCAGAGCCTGGAGCCTGCTTCCGATTCTGTGTCTCCCTCCCTCTCTGTCCCTCCCCCGTTCATGCTCTGTCTCTCTCTGTCTCAAAAATAAATAAACGTTAAAAAAATAAAATAAAATAAAAATAAAAAAATAATAAAAATAAAATAAAATAAAATAAACTCCTGATGGATAAAATGCATCTGGACTGGGAGAACTACAAACACCTGGTAGGAAGGCTCATCTTTGGGTTTCCCCAAGTTCAGCGACCCTTGACATAGGGCTTGTCATTTTGGAACCTTTGGAAATCATACAGAGTCATTACAAGGGATATAGTTCCTGTGGGATGTGACGCGTCTATGCCAGGACACCCCCTGCACTTGAATAATAGGTCTTTTCTGAGAACAGCTCTCCCAAGACAGCTCTGGGACAGCTCCGGGGACCCGGGTCTATACTGCTGTGCGGTCTACACCTCCCGGCTAATGATGTCTGATGCTGCCCTGCCGGCAGACTGTGCTTTCAGTGCTCTAACCCTCCAGGTCAATCTGATACCAAGTGCGACCCAAGGCCTCTGTGAGTCAGCACGTCCGGTCGGACCCTGGAAGGCCCCCCCCCTGGTGGGAGCTGCAACCCTACACGGACAGCAGACCACGGCAGGCCAGGGTCGGGGGGGGGATTCGGATCCAACCTGCTCCAGGTAGGTGAGGAGGGCATCTTTGTTGTTCTCCCACTCCTGGGGCAGCTCGTTCTCGTGAGGAAACTTGTCACAGGACAGCTCCACGGTGACCTCAAAGCAGTTGGTGTGCAGGTAGCTGAAGTCATTCATACCTAGGGTGGCCATGGATACTGGAGCCTAAGTGGGGGAAGGGAGCCCTGCCCGCCTGGTAGCCCTCCTCTGTGAGACACTTCCCGGAGGGATGGTCAACACCGCTGCTCTACGTGGACCGAGCAGACTGTCTCACGGGGACAGGGTTCTGGGGCCAGGGCTAACTCTACCCTGAGGCACATACTCCCGGGGACTGTGTGCCAGTCAGCGCCGTTGATGATGTTGCCGTGCAAGGAGAAGTCTTGGCTGTGGCAGGGTCGGCGGTCTGGGTCCTGCATGGCCCGGTTAGTGCCAGCATAGACGGTGCTGAGCCAGCGGAATACGGCATCATCCGGGGTGGGCGTGAGTTCACGGGCAGCCCACGGGGTCCGAGTCATGTCGAACGGGTAGGACACCACGAGCTCACCCCCGTGGAGGTTGGCGCTCAGCACAAAGGGGATCCGCTCCATCCACTCGATCACTGCCCGCGTTTCGGGAGCCACCTAGACAGGGTCAGGTGGGGTGAGGTGGGAGACAGAGACAAGAGCCCCCCGACGACCCTCCGCCACTTCCCCAGAAGACTCACGGTGGCGTTGGGCAGGGTGTAGTAAGTGGGCAGTGGCAGGTGATGGTTGGGGACGGTGTCAGGCACTAGCCCGTCATCCTCTGCTTCCCACAGCGGTGTGTTGAGGTCAGCAAAATTATGGTTAAGGTCAATGCCCTGCTGGTTCCAGCGGCCCTCTGCCCAGCCTACCAGCTCCGAGCCCTGCCAGGGAAGGGGCCTGTTCAAGCCAAGCAGGCATCAGGGCAGAAGGAGTGGGGTGGCCCTCATGCCAGGCGGCCTACCCGGCGAAAGGCAGTCTCATAACCATCAGGGTTCATGGAGGGCAGCAGGTGAATACGTGTCTCGGTGAGCAGCCGGGTCACCCGCGGGTCCCCTCGCAGGAACTCACGGCACAGGTACTGCATCAGAAGCAGGAGCAACTCCCGCCCCAGGGCCTCATTCCCATGCATACCGGCCACATAGCGCACCTCAGGCTCTCCTGGGAACACAGGGGCTCCACATGGGCTCGCGCCCACAACCCTTCCCTGTGCCTACCTCTCCCTGCCCAGAACCCGCCAGTACCCAGCTCATGTTGGCCAGGGTGGTCCGACATTTCCATCACGTACAGCTTCAGGCCCTGGTGGCTCTTCCCAATGCTGTAGATGCGGGTGACGTTGGGGCACTGCTCGTTCACCTGCTTCATCAGCTGCGGGGGGTGGGCGGGGGCAGAGCATAGCACGGCATGGGGCACGGGAGGATTAGACCCAAGGGTCAGACCACATGAGGCCATGGAAGGGCTCACAAAAACCAGCGGTGGCCCACACAGATGGGGCACCGTGGCACCGAACAGGACCAGAGCAATAGCAGACCAGAAGGAAGGGTTAGGATGAGGGAAATACCACAGCAAAGGAAACCAGGACAGAGTTTAGGGGTCAACGGGCGAGAAGGATGAGACAGTAGGGGGAGTGGGGACCTGAGGACAGTCATAGCAGGTTATGCCCTGGTGGGAAGGGGACCGGAGCTAGGCAGCTCCTCCCTCCTGGGTCATAGGAGTTCACGTCTGACCTTCCTCATGGCCTTGTAATTGTGATGCCGGAAGTCCAAAGGATCAGAGGATCCCAGTGCAGCGGCCTTAGGGAATAGGTCGTTAGGATCTGGTGGAGAATGAATTCACGGTCAAGGGGGAGTCCACGGCGGAGGTTTTTACCCTGCTCATCCAGCCCTTGTCCGACTGCCCACCTGAGACAGGGCAGGCCAGGATCTCTGCCCGGAGGCAGGAATCGCCTCCCTGGAGCCAGGTCTGGGGCAGCAGGCGAATGAAGCGGGCCACCTGGGGCTCAGGCAGGAGGTTCAGCACCGGTGTCTCTGGGTCTGAATTGGCAGGAAATACCTGGGGGCATCGAGTCCTTTAATGGGACTGCTCAAACCCCAGCAGCCTGGCCCGGAAGCAGAGAAGGAGCTCAGGCCTCCGAGCTCACCACCAAACCCACCCTGGCGGGCTTGCCTGGAGACCTGCACTCTCTGTCCAACACAGACCACCCGCCCACCCCTCCTACCCCCTGCCAACAGGCCGCTCTAGGCAACCATGCTTTCTGGCTGGGTCGCAGCTTATTAGACCAATATGGCCCCATCGCTCAGGAACGGCCAGTCCTAAAGCTGACCAGGCCCCTATAAAAAGGGGTCCGTGAGATGGGAAAGCCAGAGGGGCGGGGAGGTGAGAAGTGGCGCAAGGGCCTGAGGCCCATCGACCAGAAAGGGTGTTCCAGCAGGAAGCTACAGCATGAAGCGGACCCACCCCGTGGAGAAAGTATCTGGGGAGGAGGTAGGCATATTCCAAAGCAGCTTGGCCCCAAGGCTGCCTGGTGGGTGCCACACAGCTTGACAACAACCCCCTTTCTCCTGGGATGCTGAGTGGGCGTCTGTTCCTTGACCTCAGAGGAGCCCCAGCCCAGCCTAGTACCCTACAGTGGGGCCCAGCCCCCATGGGACCACTCACCGCATCCATCCCACTGCTACGGTTCCTGCTCCCCCACCACGTCCGGCTGTCATTGCTGAACTGGACCTTGTATGATGTGACCCAGTCGTACCTGGCAGGAGAGGTCGGGAGAGATCCTCCGTGGCCTCAGGACTCCCACCCCAACCCTCCCGAGTCTGCCCGTGACTTCCTGGACTGGGCTAGCCTGCCTCACCTCCAGACAGAGTTCCTGCCCTGTGTGATGATGCCCGAGAAGCGGGTGGGGTGCCTGGCATCCACCTGAAGCCACGGCTCAGCATCCTGAGGCTCAGCACACCAGGCCCCATCATAGAGATCACCATCCTCCAGGCCTGACTGTGGGCACAGGACATGGCCATCAGACCCAGGTGAACAGTATAGGGTGGGCCAGGATGGTGCCTGGGGAGGTGCAGGGAAGAAGTTCCTAGGGGTTGCCCTAATTGGACCCAGGACTGCTGACCTGGATGTTGAGCCGTCCCCGGTGTGGTCCAAGACCAAAGGACTGGCTGCTGGATGCCTCGAGCTGGCTATCTGAAACTCGCAGGGACTCCAGGCCCAAAGGGGGGCAGCCTGGGGCAGGGACAGAGCAGTGAAACAGGACCAGAGAGAGAGAGAGAGAGAGAGAGAGAGAGTGGTCAGGGCAGGTAGGAAGCCCAGCCTATGC